TAAAAAAAAACTTTTTAATAGTGAAAAACATTTAAATTATGTTTTTGCCTTTAATTTAGGAACCTATCTTTAATTATACTATTAATTTACAGATCTTGTATTATTTTTTTATAAGCAATTGTTTTTTTATATTATTATAAATTGTAATTTTGTTTGATTAAATATAAAATTATAAAAAATAATAAACAATATTAATTTAATAATAATAGTTATATTAATATTTTTTTAAAAAAAAACTTATTAAAGTTTAAATCTTATAAAATATTATTATTATTTAATATGGTTTTAAATAAAAAAAGTCAATTAATCAAAAAATTGATAAAATAAAACATAATATTTTATTGAAAAAAAAGCTTTAAAAAAAACCTAACTTTAATAAGAAAAAAAATAAATAAAAAAAAAACATATTTTAAATAATTTATAATTAATACAAAACTACTTTTTAATAAAAAATAATATTTTGATATTAATTATAATTTATTAAAAATATATACTGTATATATATAATAATAACTTTATCTTAAAAATACTGTATTATTGATCTTTATTTTGTAATTAATTTAATTTTAATTTTATTAAATTACTATTATCATTATTATTTTGTACTCGGAATAAAAATTTTTTAAAAAAATTGCTATCTTTTTTTTAATTAATAAGGCCAAAAAATTTTTTTATATAATTTCATTCGTTATATCTACAAAATATAAGAATTCATTTTTTGGATTAGACCATATATACTGTATAATTGATAAGATTTTGTTAATATTTATTTTGTCATGATCTTTAAATTAATTATTATTATTATTTTTTGAAATTTAGAAATTTAGAAATATTCGACAGAGATGAGTATTGTAAAGTCAATTCATAGTCTCTGAAATGCAAGTCCTTTACTTGCTTAAATTAAACTTTAATTTGTAATGACAACCAATTGGATAATTTTTGCGTCATTGCATATACCAGGAATCAAATTTAAAAATATTAGATTATACTAATGACAAGTCCTTTATTAATATTAAAGTTTAGTGATGATATGATCTTAAAAGGAAATGAATATGATAAAATTCAACAGTCCGGATGATCAGTTATAGGAACTTGGACGACGATCGGAACACTTAATAAAAAGGTATATCCTCACATAAGGAATTTATTCAATTGAAATTCAATATACGGATAGAAAAACCCAAACCCATGGATAATCAATAATCCCAATGATGCAAGTAAGAAAATTAGTGATCGCATAAATATTACCAAAAACTTATGTCCTGTTGTCGGAAAATGATGATATGTTGTTTATATCGTTCATCTCAATCAAGTATTACAAGTCCTCAAAGGATTTAATAGTCTCTTCCAATTCCTTTTCTTTCTTATTGTAGTTCTCGGTCATTTCTTCAAGTTTCCTCTCCAACTCTGCCTTTTCTGTTTCGAGCTGTTGCACCTTGCGCTCAAAATGTTCGGCCTTCACATCAGTTTGACGTAATCTGACAGAAATGGATGATTGTTAAAACTCAGTAATAATAGAAAATCGAATAGATCGCATAACACGATAATTACTTTTCTGTTGTCTCTTTCAGGTTTTTCTCAGTGTTATCTAATTCGTTTTCGAGTAGAGCAACTTTCCTCTGGAGACTTTCAGAAATATTCTTGTTGTTCTCCTCTTCCTCTTTCGCAAGCTTAGCATCCAAAAGTTTTTTATCAGCTCGTTCAACCTCAGCCTCCAAGAGTGAAATTTTATTCTGGAGAGAGATGATCTCTTGCTCCTTACCCGTCAACTCTTGCTCAAGCTTTTTGTTTTGAGCTTCAGCATCCTCAGCGCGTTGACTTGCAGAATCTGCTTCGGCACGGAGAGAGTTAAGTTTCTGTAAGAAAAGTTTTGAATTTTACTTACGTCAGGACTTTTGACAGAGAATATTTGAGAATAAACTGTGCACGCATTCAAGAGATTTTTTTCCTTTTATGTCCAGTCTGAGAATGCGGTTGAATAAAGTCCCGCAACTACGCTAACATCAAAAGAGTCCTTGTTTCTAAAGTTAAGGACAATATACATACTTCTTTGAGTTTTTCCATTATTTTCCTTGAAAAACAATTTTCTTTGATATTAATGTGTTGTCAGTAAAGTACGTACGCACGTAGAAGTGTAACATCGTTTTTTTTGATACAAAAACCTACTTACGTCACATTGTAAAATTAATTGTGTTAATTTTATCCAAAAATAGATTTTAGCTTGACCGACATCGTTACGTCGCACGTGCGAAAATCTTGTTTTTACTGCGGATTATTGAATGATGTTCGGAAATTATTATACGTTTCCTTTTGAACAAGCGAACTACAGCATGCAAAACGGCGTGGTTAATGGGTACAAAGTACCTTGCACTCCTTTAGCCGGACAACCTTTTTCACATCAACTTCCTTGTGGCTTTCGTCCTTTCTCATTA